GCTGCTCCGGCGGGCCGTGTCTGTTCCCCTTATCGCGACGCGTGTCGTCCACGCGGGCTCGTTTCGAGGGCCCGAGGGTGGCCCGTGCGCGACGGCAGAGGAGGAGGGCGTCGTAACAACGGGCCAATATCACCGATATGTGGTCGATACATCGAGCTGACTCGGGAAGAAGAGTTGACGCGGTTTCTCGCTTTCTCAATCACGGTACGCTGCCTAGCGTCAATAGGACAAAGACAAGGCCAGCTTGGTAGAGTGGGTAGTCGCTTGCACGCGCATCACCAAGGACATCTACTGGCTATACCCTTGTTCTCGATCGCTTTTAATTAAAAGAGTATTATGTCGAATTTTGTGCTGTTTCTAAATTATTGACGTATAAATTGTGTGGCGAGTTATCGAGAACCCGCAGGGTCAGGTCAATTATTGTCTCACGCCTTGACCTCTAAACAGGAAGATTTGGCTTGGTTTCCCTCGTATCTCAATAAATGGATACTGAAACAATCGCTTTATAGTCAGCCACTGAAGCGAATTCGACGGCGTTCGTTTAATTCAATACATTCAGCGAAAACTCAGTTGCCGCATTTATGGAAGCAAATTAATTTTAATTAGGCTATTTTTTTATAAATACGCTTCATTGTCACGAATGTTTTATGTCTACAAATTCGAAATTACATAATAGATACAGGTTATAGTATGCGGAAAATAAGTTCCCCAGACTCCGCGATTCAAGAACGGAGAAAAATCAAAACAGATTAGACAAAAAAAAAGCCCTTAGCATACCTTTTTTGTTCAAGCAACACTATTCATGTACCCTGTGTTGTCTACGCTGGTGTTCGATAATACAGGGATGCGGTAAACGTGAATGATTATGAAATGGTTACCGTGAAACAGGCTACAGAAGCGCGTCCATGGGATGGATGGCGGCTGGCCGCATGCCATTACAAAAGTTTATCGTCACCGAAATCTTGTGAACGGCAAAATTTTCCCTTCTGCGCAAAGAATGGATGAGTCTGTAAAAGAGGCTACGGTGACACACACCACACGGCGGATGAGTCCACTCCGGCTTCCGGCAAAGGCCTAGCGGATGGATGGCTCAGCGCCAATGGGCCTACCACTTCAAAAGTCCATGCAGTGCACCCACGCTCATATAAGAAGCTGAGCTTTGATACTACTATTGCCGATTTACGCGTCGTGTTCATGATATGACATTTTGAAGATAATGGCGCATTCCGGCGGCGTCGTTGGCTGCGATGATGGCACGGCCGAGTTTTCGCTGTGCACTGCATGGCGTGCAGCTGTGTACACGGGCAGCTCGCAACGTTACATCTTGCATAAGCATTTGGTATAGCTCACATAAGCATCGTTTGTATTGCAGGTCTCATTCAAGCAATACCGCTTCACAGTCGTCCTCGCATTTGGTGAGACGTCCGTTAAGCGATCTCTCTGTTGCCCTGAAAACACGATGTATCCAATTTGCCACCGCTGACGGCGATCGAGCACGCGTTGCACGAAGTTTTCCTGTCGCTGATCGGCCCGTCGTTCGCGCATTCGTTACTATTCGTTATTTACTACTATTCTTATTTTATATATTCTACTATTCGTTTTTTATATACACTGTACTCGCGAACACAATGAACTACACGTTGGAAGAACGCCCGGTGGTCGAAAGTTTCGGACCTCTCCACTAAGTCATCTCTCATAATAACTTGGTGATTTTGGGACGTTAAACCCCACATATCATTCAATCATTTTTCGCATGAAAAGTTTTCAGTCAGCCAATCCGGACATATTATTTGTGAAGCTGGCCAGCCAAACAGCACTTACGAAAGGAGCACTTTGAAATTCCATCCCCTTCTCCTCATTGATCACGCCGGTGTTAGCGCACTATTATGAGCACATCTTAAGACATCTTTCGTGTAAGTTATATTGATAGTGACTTCTTCACATCCGAAAGTGAATGAAGTTGCGATACACCCCGTTAACAGCCCCGCCGGGGGCTAGCCGTATAAATAAATAAAATAAAGTGTAAAGTTAATATTCTGCACGATAGGTGTTTAAGAACTTTAAATCCGGTAGCTCGGTTCATAGCGAACGGATAAAAATGCAGCGCTAAATAAATGGGTGTGGCATAGCTCGTCTAGAACCGGTTATGCAAGCGAAAGTTCTAAAACGAAATGCCAGGCCCCTTCCTTAACCATCAGGAGATTCTGGCGCTCGCGTGTCCTCCGCTAGCAGAGGCCCGCGCTCCTCGAGTTTTCAGGATGAGCCGATGAAAGCACTCACTGTAGACGCAGGCAGAAATGACCGCCACAACTAAATTTAGCACGGCTTGTTACAGGTTATCTGTTCTTCGCTTCGAGGCCATCCATACACGCGCAGTGAGACCCGTTCGACTAGCCCGTAAAGCTTTCGTTTTAAAAGTAGAAGGTCAACTAACAGTCACTTGATGGAAAAATCATTCATGACATAATTGTAACATATTATTTTACACGAGTGTGAGAGCTACACAACATTCCCGTGTACATATTGATTTGCTGGAGTCTACAAAAACTGTACCATTAAGTCGCGCAACTACTTCATGTAGTGTTTCACAACAGACATGAGCACGGTAAAATAAAAAAATAATGAAAGAAAAAAACTGACTGGATTTCCTGCCGCTGCAGCAGCAGAAAATCCAGTCAGAAACAACCAGAAGACACAACAATGTGCTGAGCTGAAATCATCCCGTACTAAACGTTGAGCGCAATGTTGGTCACGAATGATAGTGACTCAAACCACTTCGCGTTCAGAGGGCAGGCACCACAGCCGATGAGGAGACGTCTGCCTGGACAGGGGAGGCGCACAGAGCAAAAGCTAAGTTGACTTGGAGATAACAATTTTCAGAATATTTGTGAAAAAAACGACAATATGAAACAATAGAACACGCTTATGTGTTCAAAGAGGAGTTATAAACTTCAATTTTATATGTAACGGGATGCTGGACTAATTCGATCATAATTTCAAGTTTACAAGCCTATAACTTCGACAGGACAATCATATTGCGAGATAGCTCTAGTTTTGCATGCATTCCACTGTCCTGTAGAAGTTGCGGGCTTTTCAAATCTGAAAGTCTAAATATTATCCACGAGGCAACCCATTTTCCGTCACCTGTAGCCACGTCACCACATTCTACAAGAATTGTCAAATCTGTCTCTTTATTCTTTTAATTTTTTTGTTCATTCGTTTTTGTTCTTTAGGAGAACAAAGTAAAACATGGCAACAGCTCTTCTAAATGCTTAATACAAAGAATTCCCTGCTTTGGGCACTATTTCTGCAATTTACGTTTCGCCATTAACGAGCGTTGGTTCCTCTCCATTGTTCGTAAAAGATGACCTCTTAAGAAAGATTTCACCGCTATGCATGCCTAAACAATTAGGAAAATTCATGTTGCGGGAAGAAGGCAAACACAAGTGAGCAGAGACGGGACCATTGTTGTAGTGACTGTCTTTACGACATCATTCTAGCCAATAATTGCTATAGACAAAAGGAGCCAACAGAAGCACTCTTTTGTTTCCGAAAAATTGATATTTGTATCATCGCTGTCATACCACTTATTACGGCGGAGCTGTAAATAGAAAATTTTCTTGATTCGTGGCGTTTTTTTTGCGTCCTTTCACGAACAGAGAGAACCAAGTGACCTCCTTCAAAGAAGGTATGACGTCACAGATGGTCAATTATTGTGACATCATCAGGACGTACGTGGCGTGTGGAAAGCAGGCCCGGGTTCAAAATGGGCGCAGTAGTGCCCTATAAGCCTGCCCCAGCCCCCTCCTCCAGAAATTGGGATGGAGGGCTTGTTTTACCGAAAACATAATAAAAATAGGTGTTTTTCAAGGCCTTCAGCAACTTCTATCCCCCTCCTCCTCTGAAAACAAAAAAAAATCCTGGTTATGGGCTCATTGTGAGAAGCACGCTACGGGAGAACGCCCGAGGAGAGTATCAAGTACGCCGGCGAGACCAGAGGTGGGAATGCGTTGGGCAGCTCTCTTTGTCATCAATTGTCACAGATTTGAATCCCTGAAACTTAATTTTTATTGAAAAAGTTCCACTTATCGCTATTTCTAGGTAGCAGAAAATTTCGTGCGGTGCATAGTAGCGTGATCGTTTGACCATATTTCTGGCAAATAAGTATTTCACATATACACAAGGTTGAATACGTAGCAAAGAATCGCAAGTTTACTTGCTGAGAATCAGAACGTCCGACGATTTTTCTAATTTATTTATTATTTGGTCACAATGTCACCTGATGATGATGATGATGAGTAGTTTTTAGTGGCGCAAGGGCCAATTGATGGCCAAAGAGCGCCATTTCAATTGACTACAGATATGAACAATGGTATGGTGCGTGGCTGTAAAGGGGTCTTAAAATTCCTCGCTCTAACGCGGGTTAAAACATGAAAGTAATAAAATCATGACAGTGGCGTGACATATGTGTAGTGATAGTGGATGGCAAAATGTCATGATAATAAAACCATGATGAAGATGTAGTCACCGCAGCCACGACCACTTTATAGGGGTCGTGCTACGGATGACCTCGAAATATCGGGTGAAAGCTTTGCACATCTTTTAAAAACGTAAAAAGTGCTTGCAGTTTAAAAAGCGGATTCCTACCGATGAGCATCCCAGGGTGTAGAGGGAGCAATGTCACCTGCAGTTCTTATGTTGTTTATTGAAGCGTTTTTTTGTTTTTTTTTGCGGAGTAGAGACTGTGTCGGATCATGGGATATACGTAGGAAGTTGTATAAATGGGCCCACAAAGCCCCACAGAGCGCACGCTGCGTTACTGTTCATTGAAGAGATTCGATAACGCCAAAAAACGACATATCACTTCTATACTAACCGAGCTAGCAATATTGTAACGACCATGACTGGACTTTACACCGAAACTCTAGCGCGAGCTCTAAGGTTATAACTTCTGATGTGCAGCGCTATTGAAAGCATGGTGGGAACAGTGAGAAACTTACGAACTGTGAGCGAAGCCTTGGCCATGACGAGCACTCCGTGGATGCTCGTGATTCCCAAGAAGGCCGGCCACATCATGACGTGGTTGGAGCAGTGGAAGCAGACCTTGCCGCCGGGCCTCAGCCCTCGTTGCCGGAACGCCGATGCCATCGCGGTCGCTTGCTCCCACAGCTCTTGGTAGCTCATCGACGATCCTGTCACGGCGTCGATCTGTGTCGCATGGTGCACCATTCGGAATCAAACCTCCCATAGTTCCAATGAAATCTCTTCTCCTGCCTTATATGAAATATAACGTACAATCTCCGACATTAAAGAGAGGGAGATTACGGAGATACAGCGTGCATGCTTATGTGAAGCGTGCAAGCTTTTTGAAGCGCTTAAGTCTAAGCACCATCTACAGTGTCTTTCGCAGCAAGTGTTATCGAGCCTTGTTCGGTAAATCTGCAAGGACCGAGAACCCCTACTTCGCGACCACGTGTTGTGCAGTATCCAGGAGCGTTCAAGTTTTTACCATACCATTTTCAGTAGTAGAGTCAAGTAAAATTTCATGTTATTATATATAGGGTAATAGGACATTGGGTTGGTCTGCTATCCAAGGCTCCACTGGCCTCGTGGCTTTCTGGGTTTGGTCGCACAGGGCTACTTGGCTCTTCTGATTTTTACTCATATCCAAGGTGATGCCATTTTACTTCTGCTTGGTCTTCAGGACAGGCGACCCTTCCATGACAAGCCGACAGCATATACGCTTTGCTATAGTGAAGTGCTATGTATCCCCTTTGACGGTGCATCTAAGTCCCACAAATGATAGGTAATCAACGTAACTTCGAAAACGTCAGAGCCAGCAGCAGCATGCCTCTAAGGGCAGTATGAACGGGCCTATAATAAGAATATTCATTGTACGAGGGATATTCAGCGAGTGAGCGATTCAGCGAGCTAGCAGCAGATGCAGTCATAAACTGCAGAAAAGTTTTCCATGAAGTTTTGCTTTAAAAAATATTCCCATTTGGTATTTTAACGTACGGAAGCTTTGATGAGAGCGTATAACAAGATGGAGTAACTCTAATTCGCCCAAGAATTAACGAGGGCAGATGAAAAAAAGAAGCTAAAAATTTATTGTTCGAATGAGCGAAAACTTATCACCTTTGCACTGTGTACAGATGATTAACCCAATTAACCTGCGAAGCTGGAATGTCCCGCGCCGCTTCTTATCACTGGTTACTCCCGGTGGTTCAGTAAAGTGTTTCCCAAATATTGGTTACGTTGGCCCAGAAATCTTGAGTGATTGGTATTCTCTTCATTCTTTGTGGACCAGTAGCGAGTAGTATATAAGATTTGCCCAATTTATGTAACACATGTTATTTATTTATTTATTTATTTATTTATTTCTTATTGATCACTTATTGATCACTTATTGATCACTTAGTAATCACTTATTCACTTTAAAATGACCAGCAGTGATTCGTGGGGCGTATTTTCGTGGATACATACGCACGCTTCACCCTCCTATAGGTCGGACTAATTAGCTTTCGCTTTGGCATACAGCTGTGCTGTAAAATGAAAACCACCGTTACTTTATCACAGATTTGCGTGAACTTGCATAGACACTTGAAATTCTCTTGGGTATGACACGAGGTTTCTGCAACACATTATGCTCGCTGTCTTCGCTGACTCGGCGAAGGTTGGCTGATACATGGCGTGCTGTTTTTGTTTATTAACTTCTGTAATCTCCCGTGTTAGTTTGTTAACTTGCCTGAAAATCAGGGCGTCTGAAATTACACTTTCACAGCCAGAATCTTTGCAAAATAGTGAAAATAGAGAATGTTCGGTGGCCTTTAATGACCTACGGTGCTCCTTGAGTCGAATTATGCTCGCTCAGTTTGAAACACGGCGCTCTTCTTGTCTGGTCTCTTCGGCGCAGCACAGACATTTCATCACACAGGTCTCTTGATCACAATAGAGATGGAAAGCGATACTGCCATTCCCAGCTGCACACAAATCTGGCGCACGGTCTGTGTTCGATTTATCAGCGTCTGGGTTGTCTTTTGGTGCGAAATCCGTGCCAAGAAATTTGATGGTAAGCATGCTCAAAGCAGTACTCTTAAGCGATGGGTATTCATAGTACCAGTCACTCACTGGTCGATGATCGTTTTTCAATGAAACTCGGAGAGCCGTGTCAGACAGCATGTGAGCTTCGCCAACAACTTTTCGAATTTCTGCGCTTATTTAGGAGTCGTGCGCAGTTTTCGGGATCGACTGCAAATGCAGTGTCACAGTGTTTTCGCAACATCTTGAATATAGCAACTTTGGAGTTACAGCGCTGTGTTGCTAAGCGTAACGGCACTGGTTCAATCCCAGGCCATAGTGGCTGCATCTCGACGAGGGTGAAATGCAAGCACACCTTTGTGCTCTCTAATCACGGATTGAAGCACGAAAATTCATGGAAAGTAGTGCACGTACTTTTGTTTCCAGCGTTTACAGTTCGACTCATATCGGCGTAATTTTCACTCTAACACCTTAATCAGAACAGACACTCCATTTAGCGCCCAGATTTGCCGCGACATGACGTGGTTATCATATACAATTGTTAATTATAATAAAATAATATAACATTTGAGTTTGTGAAAACTGTACTGGTAGGTAGGTAGGTAGGTAGGTAGGTAGGTAGGTAGGTAGGTAGGTAGGTAGGTAGGTAGGTAGGTAGGTAGGTAGGTAGGTAGGTAGGTAAAAAACTTCGATTCAATAAAGAATAATGTGAGGGGGTATGCTTGTATTTAGATGCACGCTAATGTAACGCAAATTGTTTAAGTTAATTCCCCGCGGTGGAACAGCTCGTGATTAGACAGAAAAAGAGCCCAATTCAAGCAAGACAATGAACAGAGCTGGGCTGCATAGGATACATATTATGGCATATTCGGATTGTCGACACAGCCAGAAACCTTTATATAGTAGCTATACATGGCAAAATGAGCGCAGCTCAGAATATGGAGACCCAGGTGAAGTACGCACATGGCGGTAACAAAATCGGTCCTAAAGTAAACATTAGCGCCATGTGAGTATTTGTCTCGTCTTTCGCGCTGTGCTCCTTTTGTCGAGTGGTCACTTCAGAGTACAGTGGCAGTATTATACGATGATAAAAATACAACATCATTAAGGTTTTATCACTCTACCGAGCTATGGTAGTGATAATCTGGCAACATTATTACTTTGGTTGCTTTATACTAGTGCAACGCCTACTTGCATCTACGTGACATTTGTTTCACTGCCAGAGTATACTGTGAAGCGGCTCTCCGAATATGTAATGACGGACCACGCCCAGCGTCTCTTATGTCTGCATGTGGGTTAACATGCTGGCCACAAGCTCTTGTTTGCGTTCATTGAGTCAACAAAGAGTGACAGAAAAGGATATAATGCGTACAAAGGCTGCTTTGGGTCCGTAGTGGCGGAAGATGGGCTCGAAGTATTCCGTCAACAGTACAAGCGGCACCTTGAGATCCACGTTGCTCGAACGCACCACTAAGTCGTCACCAAAGATGGCCTTCGGTGGGGGGCCCACATCTCGAACAGTGCAGCAGCCCCACGGCATCGTTCACCGCTCAAGAACAGGAAAGAAATACGCAAGTGCGTGTACTGAAGTGAAGCAACACTGCAAATAACGGGAACAAGACGATGACTTCGTTCAGATCTTACTGCATCTGCCTGAAACATTAGTGGTGATTCAAGAATATAGAGATGTTTCAGTTTAATAATAATAATAATATTATTATTATTATTATATATTATTATTATTATATATTATTATTATTATTATTATTATTATTATTATTATTATTATTATTATTATTATTATTATTATTATTAAGAAAAATAAGTTGTGTATTTGACGTGCACAGAAACAACCGTGACGTCTTTGCGCACGCGCACGCAAAAAAATAAAATAATAAAAATAAACAATAAAACAGAGGCAGTCTTCAGAAAAAGAAACCAAATAAAAAGAGCGTAAACGCATGGACAAAAAAATCAACGCAAAATGGGAGGAATAAAATGTGAAGACGGGAACAATGATATCATCTCAGGTTTAACGTCCCAATACCACGATATGATTATAAGGGACCCCATAGTGAAAGTCTCCGGCACTTTTGATCATGTGGTGTTCTTTAAACGTGCGCTAACATATGCCATTGCACAGTACACAGGACTCTACCAGTTTGCCTCAATCTAAATGAAACCACCGCGGCCGGGATCGAACTTGCAACCTTCGGGTACAGGAGAGCACCCTAACCACTACACCACCACGGCCAACATGTTTGAGTTCACATGCCGGTATTGTGCGACAAACTCTTTTGCGAAGTGTTTGCCACATGTAGACGCAAATCCAATAGACACGAAAACCGGGTGATTTCTAGCCAGCCTTTGCTATCATATTTCGTTTCATTTTATATGGCGTGCCACAACTGAGCACTTAAATTTATATCGGGATCTCTTATAAATATCATTCTATCAATACATAAACTACATCCACTTCTACTCCAACCCACCACATGTGAGAGGCAAGATCAGGCGTGGAAATTCCAACAGTACTAAGCAACAGTGCAAACGGTCATGACTTGACATGCATAAGAATCTTTATGGATGATATTTTTTTAATTGACTCTAATTTATGCTCTGAAACTGGTTAGCAGCGTAGGTGTGGTATAACCTGATCCGATAAACCACGCGGTCTTACGTATAGCCTCGAACGAATAGGCAATGCGTTATATGAAAAATTCGGCAGATCCCATGTTACATGGGAATGGATGTCATGCGAAGCATGTGGGGGTTAATGCAGAGCGACTGTGGTGTAATTTCTTTGTTGGTCGAATCGTTACGGAATGACGCAAAACATGTGTACAAGTGTTATACACACAGACGTGTATGTTGCCATGGCGCACATGTTTTATGCGTATAACCGGCTGTTTACAGTGGCGTAATGATGCCGAGAGCAACGTTGGTATCACCAACACCAGGAGTGGTTAGCTAAAAAGTAGCACTTGAGCTTCCAAGGATAGTAACTCTGGATAGTGCTACGTAGACCAACTTGAATGAATGGCACTTAACTACAATTTACGCTGACCCTACGTGATGCCTATATTATTGGGGCACGTATGTGATATTTATTAAATATGGGGCAGTACATGCTACCACAATTGACGTTTCACCAACATTGTGCCTGCATTGGGTCTTTTTTGAACGCAGTTCTGAGACTTGGCGTGTCTCTGTGGTAAAATATTTTATGGCCACGCAGAGGACTTAGGTTGGATTCCCGCTGAGACCATAATATTTATTCTTTGCATTCGTCGGCTCAATGCTGCCAAGTCGGATTTTCTTATCGCTCTCGCATTTCCATGGAAGCGTCTGTTATCGCCGTTCCTTGGTAGATATAAACTGTCCAACACCTGTGGCGCATGTCTGCATACCGTGGCTTGTGGTATACGGGTATGTGCCACACGTGTCCAAAGTAAAGGGTTCGGCGTCGTACGCGACGAGCTTTTCACATTATTCGTATCATGACCAGAGAATCATAATCGTCAAACCTTATACATTATCCTCTCATACTAATTTTGGTTTACCCCTATAAGGAGGTAACAGAGAACACACATACGTAGGCAGATAGATAGATAGATAGATAGATAGATAGATAGATAGATAGATAGATAGATAGATAGATAGATAGATAGATAGATAGATAGATAGATAGATAGATAGATAGATAGATAGATAGATAGATAGATAAACACTCAATTTGTCGGCAATACGCAAAAAAAGCTTCGTATTTATTAGCTGACAGCGAGACATTTAAACTCAATACATCATCGTGTTCACGCTTCGTTTTTTAACTATGCATGGATTTTTCATATCACTATCACAACACAAATAAAATCAGCTGGTGGGCGAATTCCTGTCCGCATAGAACAAGCACGCGTCCTTCGCAGCATACGCTGGGTACATTGAGCACAGAGGTACTTCTAGATGTATTTATTTGTGCTCCTTGTTTTTGTCTGAAATCTTCCATGTCATGTCATGGCTTAATTCTCGGAAGACAACGCCTCCTATATTCTTTTTTTTCCATGCCAGTGCAAACACTATCTCCTCAATGGGAACCGTTGGCCCACCTTAGTTCAGGGCGTGGTCGTTGTGCGACGCTAAGGTGCGACTGCCTACATCCCACTTGCGTCTAAACACGTTCTCGTGTAGACGCGATAGACGCGATAGACGCGCTGTCCCTCTGTCAGATTTTCTGCTTCAGGCTCCTTCCTTTGTAGCCCAAATCAATGCCACCACCGCCTTAGAGAGCTCGTAAGGCGCATCTTAAAGGCAGCACATGCAGCAGCTTTGCAGTGATGCATCCACGCTGGTATCCTCCATAGCGTCACGAATAGAAACGCGCCATTTTAAAACACCATACCTCTCATAGAAAGCCAGCTTGGCAGCTAAAATTGTGTTCATGAAACGTGCAAGACGCCGCCTCACGGATCTGAGCTCAAGTGAACAAAGAAATACCTCATCTGACCTCCGTCGTGAGGCACCACTTTAAGAGCACTTTCCCATGAACGCAAAGCAGGCTCGAAGGGTATCCAATGGGACAGGGTAGATTAGGGCTGAAGAATTGTGAACGACTGGATCAAGCGCATTCGGCTGGCATTGAAAAAATAGAGGAGACACTCGTTGAGATGACGTCAGAAACACTAAACCAACTTTTAGTCGTGAATATGTAGTTTTTATTTTGAAATTAGCCATTGTTGTAAACGTACTGAGCAAAATTATTGAATCTTGCATGCCTAATTTCAATGGAGCCTTATTCTATGCACTCTTTAAAAAATGAGCATGCTTCTCACTGGGTAATAAGCATTTATCACAATATTTACTACTTACGCAGTAACTGGAGGTAGTAACTGTCAAGTTCGTAATCGAATACCATGACGCTTACTACTTACAGTCACTACCTACAAAGAAGCAATACAATGTTATCGATTTGACAATTCTGCCAAGTGCAAAAAAAAAAACTTAGACAGCAGGGTATTGCCTATTCGTGTAACTTGGTAAATACGCACCAATATAACGTGCTCAGATACCATTTAAATCGTAGAGGCATAAACAAACCGTAAACAAGAACATGGACGCTTATGTGGCGTGTTTGTTTGTTTGTTTGCTTGCTTGCTTGTTTGTTGGCTTCGAAAAGAGCGAAATCTAGAAACCGAAACTGGGCTACACTTCACGGGAATCATAGAGCACGCCTAAGTATCTTACACTTTAAAACATCTATACTCAAAATGGTAAAATTGTTGACTGTAAAGTGAACTTAAGAGAGCAGTTCTGTATGAAAAATGGACCAAATCATCCACTTGTTTGAATTCAACTGAGCCGTATTCATTAAACCAACAGTGCAGAGACAGTCATGGCCGAAAAAGCCAACATGGCCACATCCAATGTGTCTCATTTGTATCCTAGTTGCTCCAATGTGGTGCTTTCCTTCCACAATTACATTTTAGGGCGGGAGGGAGGTCACTTCGTACAGGCTAAAAGACATGAGACTATAGGGTGAAACGCGGCCGTAAAAAGTAAGACGCCGACTTTCCCCCTTCCTCTCTGTTTATGTTCGAGCATTTCGCTACCGTACCAAGTCCTCCTCTTTTTAATGCAGTAAAGTATATATGAAATTAAAAACGGCTGAATTCAATGCATTTGGCACCAATTTATTTTTGAAGAAGGGAAACTGAACGGTGTGGCATAGAACCAGCTAACAAGCTAAGAATAAGACAAGCTGAAACACTTGAAATTGGGGCCAAACAACGAAATAATCCTTCCCTTAGCAAGGATGCCTCCATTTTGGTGAGGCCGCCTTATGTCATTCTGAAAGCTTCCTCCTTGAAGGGTTCTCGCTGAAGGCATCCTTGGTGCTTCCTCAGCGTATACGGTTGCTTTTGGGATACTTTCGTACGCCCTCAGGTCCGCTACTAGCCCTGAACGAGCGCTTCAACTCACAGCCAGCCCACATGATGAGCTAGCCTCACGTAAAGTGAGGACGCGGTTGAAAAATAGCAACGTTTCGTTGTTTGGCCGCCCTAAGAGGCCGGCGTTTCAGTGTTGCTAGACCACACCACATTTCGCGCTTGACTACGGTGGCTTTTCACATTTAGTAATCGCAGTTGGAAGTAAGCGTACACGCATCTCTATATTAACACTTTAATTTGAAAGTGATGTGTTGATCCAACTTTTTTACAGAGTAAACGCTTGTGAGCATAGTTTATATTCGATAATCTTGAACGCAGGAGCGCGGCCACCATTCCTCCCGCAAGGATGGGTGAAGGGAGGTTTCAGAGCACGCTTGTTTTCTCCATCGGTACTTGGCTGTAAGTGAGGCCATCTTACAGCCAAGTACCGGCGTCGAAGTAAAGGAACGCTTCGTTATTTGGCCCGAGATTCCTTCTAACCATATTATAATACATTAGATATAATTGATATACAATTATTATGTGATTCTTTCTATCTACTAATTCATTTCTTGGCCATTCCCAAGAGTGGGTGTGAGCCATGCAAATAGGCAAT